AAATCCAAAATGCTGGCTACCATTGTAACCTGAAATAGAAGAGCTGTTTCAAGAGTCAACAGCATCATGCTACATACATCCCTGCTCCCAATTTGCCCCTACTTTCCTCTCTTACACTCTACCCAGGCCTCTCATCTTACTCCATATCCTTAGGGTGACCATATTTCCCAAAGGGAAAATGGGACATCACACAGGGCTGGCCTGAGCCCTCCCCTCTCCCTTAGGGCTGGCCCGAACCCCCTCCCCTTGGTTGTCTCCGCTTGCCCGAGGCCTCCTCCCCATGCAGGGCTGGCCTGAGCCCTGCCAGCTCCCCGTACGAGGCTGTCCCTGGTTGCTTGAGCCCTGCCTGCCCCCTCCACCCTGTGCGGGGCTGGCATTGCCGTTTCTGCACACCACCTTTTTGACAAAACTGCATATTTGTCCAGTTTGCTCATGCCAACTGATCAAGTCAGCAAGAGCAAATGGGACAAATGCCCGCTTTTGCCAAAAAAGTCGGGATGGCCAGACAGGGCTTAAAAAAGGGACTGTCCCAGCCAAAACGGGAGATATGGTCACACTACAAATCCTTTTCCCATTCTTGGCTTTGAGCCATTGTTGTGCTGATCCATGTCTGCAGCAGTCTTTCTGTCCTCATCAGCCAAGGGCTCCCTTCCCTCCTTCAAAGATCTCTTTAAAACCCACCTCTTGAAACAAATTCTTTTCCCATCCCTATCCTGGTGTCCAGTCCTTGTTTGTCTTGTATTTAGATTAATCCCTGATTGCAGGACCTAGATATGCTATGTTCCTGCCCAAGTATTTATGCGTGTGCATAAATCAGAGTCAGATGAAGTCAACAGGCCTATGCCCTTGCTTCAATTGAGGCATGTGTGTGTTTGCAGGATCAGGGCCTAGGTTTGTAAAGCACATTGAGATCCATGATTAAGAGTTATGTGTTATCATAACACTCTATACATGTAATAATAATGCATCTTTATCCTCCGATACAACGAAAAGAACATCTACACTTGGCATCTCCTGGTCTCAGGGATGATGTGCTAACCCCAGGTGTTCCCCAGGAAGAGCTCACTAAGTAAAACATACAGCAGGCTTCTACAGAGGTGGCAAAATCAACATTAAGATGGTTGTTTCAGGGCTTCCAAATGAAAGCAGCTTTCCCTTTGCGAACACAGACACACTTTCACTGCATGGCTCTTGCTTTATGATGCATGCACAGGGACCCCTTCCTTCCACCCTCAGCTGGTGAAGGGGGTACAAATATGTGTGAAATTCATTATAGAAAGTTGTGCCACTAATTACATCAGCCAAAGACAGCAATCATGTAACAGAATCATTTGACAGAGGCACACAGCGCACAGGGGGGTGATTATATGGGTTTTGTGTTTCCACTCAGCAGTTGCCCAATCATTATTTTTCCAAATCAACAAAGCATTCTAAACAGGTGCTTAGCTTTAAGCATATGTTTAAGTTCCATTGAAATTAATTGTATTTAAGCACATGCTTAAGTGTTTTGCTGAATTGAGGCCTTGAAAAATGGAATGTTTTCATGCAAATAAAATACCTACCATTGAGGAAGGTCCTTAAAATGCTAAATACTGGATATAGATTTTTTTTTCTATTAAATAATCTTCAGTCCCAAAGCAGGAAGTTTCCTCCCACAGAAGTGGAAATAAGACAAAAAAAGCCACAATGGACAGGGAGTAAAATTTTCAAAAACCACCTATGTCACTGAGGGATCTAGATCCCATTTCAAAAATGTCTTAGACACTTAAGAATCAAAGTCCAATAATAGAGGCTCCTAAGTCTGAGTAGGATTTAAAAAATGTCCACATGAATCTGGGAGAGATGACTTTTCCTTACTCGTAAGTGCCTAAGTTATTTCTGAAAATGAGATCTGGACTCCTAAGTGATTTAGATGGTTTTGAAAATTTTACCCTTGTCCATTATGGTCTGATTTGTCTTATTCTTTTATCCTTGCCTTGATCTTTATCCTTTTGGTATAAAATAGTGTTTTAGAGTTTTCAAATGACATGATAGCAAAGGAAATAAATATTAAAAATACTATTTTAATTCTTTCTGACTCAAAACATCCTAGAAACAAAGTATTTGAAAAGAGTTTCCTTGTGGGGAAAAAAAGTGTTTTCATTTGTGCTTTTTCTTTTAAAGGCTTTCCATTTCTCTGATTCAGATTATTTTCTGTACAGCTCTGCCCAATGAATATTAACACACGTTGCTTTACCATAATGTCTAGTGAGTCCCATTTATCAAAGCCCAGAATATGCACCATGCAAAAAAAGGGGGGGAGGGGGATACACACTGAAATTGAACAAAAAAGTTCAGCCCTAAATATCACTTATATAATTTTTGCTTACTTGGGCATGGTCTGCTGCTTGTAGTAAGAAGACATAAGGGTCATCTGTGGAACATGAAATTTGTCTAACCATAGATTTGTACACCTTCAAAGTCACAAGTGCTGAAGCTGCAAATGACTAATGAAGGTCTTGCCTCATGAGTGGGATTAATAGCTCTTCCCCTTAAATTCCTATTTCTGTTTATACTGCAGGGAAGTGGTATTCTTTGCTTTAAAAAAAAAATGTAAAACACAGTTGAATTAAATACAATAGGAACCTAACACACCTTCTTTATAATGACATATAATAGCCTGAAAGTTGTCTCCATTAACAAAGTACCATAGTTATGATCCTAAACACTGTATCTTGTATTAGTGCAGTGTTGTTGGACCATTACAATATAATACTGTAGCATTTTGCTTTATAACTCTAGGTCTATGGCAATGAAGAATATATTAAATTTAATATATTTATACTAGGGCTTGTTTATGCTGCTCTGGCACTGTAAAAAGTCTTTAAAGTGAATATAACTGTAATTTACCCCCCTCTTCAAAACCTCTTTTACTGTCAGAGAGGTGTCAAGGAGCCTTAGTGTAAATATTATATACACTAGAGTGACCAGATAGCAAGTGTGAAAAATTGGGACACTGTTTTTTTTCCAGGCAAAGGGTATAATTGCTTATGTAAGACAAAGCCCCAAATATTGGGACGGTACTGGTAATATCAGGACATCTGGTCACCCTAATATATACCCACAGAGTTCATTATTTATCTGTATTATTTATTATAATAGATTAAATTACAGTCAAATAATATCAATGATATTTAAAGGGTATTTTACTTTAAAACTAATTATTGTAAAACTGGTTACTACTGACAAATGAAAAGGTAACATTTTTGTCTTGCATAATAAGGCTTAAATTATAAAATGAGTTAAAAAACCCAACAACACTAATTTATAAGGATGGAAAACTCACAAGTAAAGTTTAGGAGATTGGTTTATATACAGGTATCCTGGTATCAAATTCATTAAATGCTCTTTAGGGGCGTAGGAATACTATAACAAGGTGTGATTTGGGAAATAACACAAAAAGGCAGAGGTAAGGAGGTGCAACCCATCTCTCTGAGATTTCCTTCTCTGTGGCTTGCCAACAACTCAGACTAACAGCAAAATCTTTCTCTTCCATCCTGTACCCTACTCAATTCCCCTGTTCTCTGTAACTATGAATAACACCCACCGTTCACTGTTGCTCTGGGAAGTGTTGGAGAGAAGCCCTGGAAACTATATTTCAATTGGCTAGGAACGCAAGTTAGCTCCCCCAGAGGCATGGGACTTGTCTCTGAAATGCTTCCAGTTCCATGCTTAGCACCAGCTTGAAAGGGGGGGAACCTGAGGTTGAGAAGATGGTGTAAAGCAGAGAGGTCAGATCCTCAGCTGGTGCAAATTGTCATAGCTCCATTTAAGTCAATCAAGCTACGACAATTTACACCAGCTGAGGATCTGCCTCCAAGGATGTAAATGTATTAGGCAAGGGAGAATCAGGCCCATTACCTCATCTGTTGACCCAGCTTTCCATCCCTGTCTCTAGGTAGAAAGTTTAAGTATGAGTGATGGTAAGGTCTTCAGCGTCAACACACTAGGACAGCAGAGGAAGAGGGAAATCGGAAATGCAATGTCACATAGGTATCGCTGCGCCTTTGAGGAACACAGGGATCCAGGGCACCGGAGAGAGAATTAGCTCATAAAGCCGTTCGACACTGCTGTCTTCCCTAAAGCCCACAGCATTGCTGTTTGTTCAAAGAAGGTTTACCTTGATATTTTGTGAGCCATCCTCTACTGCGAATGTGGAACCCCTTGGTCTATGCACTTACTGCATTTCCACTATAAATTCACCACTTTTCCTTTAGTGCGGACAGTAGTAGATGGATTTGTAAGTCTCCCTTCTCCTCAGTGACCGGCTTTGCTTTAAACCATTAGAAACGGCCAAAGTATACATGACAGAGAGATGGATTGATTTAAGATTTGCATTTTTGCCCTTCCCACTGCACGTCTGTTCCTCCCGGAGGAGGTTCTGACTCTCACCTTTCCATTATAGCTGCTCTTTCCCCGGCCCTTGCCGCTCCGTTAGCTCTAATGAAACATTTGAATGTAGAGGTTTAAACAGGGGAAAATAGTTATGGAAATGGGGAAATATTCCATTTCAAGCACAGTTCCTGTGAAATTCTTCCCTCAGCACTTAATTTTTCAGATTGCTGTACAGTGAAGCCTCCAAACCTCACTTTTCAGAAGCATTCCCTCCATATTACAGATGGGGAAAATGAGGCACAGAGATGTGAAGTGTCCTTCCCAAGGTCACACAGTCAATCTGTGGCAGAGGCAAGAGGAAAACTTACAAGTTCCTGTGTCCTAGCCCTATGCTCAGTCCACTAGAACCATGCTTCCTAACAATCTCCCTATCTTGAACAATCTGGGCAACACCAAGCTGATTTAAGCAAAACAGAAACCAGCAAAAACCAAGCATCATCCCAAAGATGCGTCCCTCTCCTGTTTAGAAACCGAGGAGATTTTAAAGCTATAGATAGTTACGAACATATGTTCCCTGGATCTTGATGGGAGAATAGGGCTCTCGGCTATTAATTCATATTCATCCATTTTTGCTAGCAGAGTTTTTATTACACAAATTAAATAATACATAGAAACTAAGATCTACCGTATTCTTAGTAGGTTTATTGCAGCTGATGGGATGAGAAGCCAAGTGTTGTAGATCTGTAAATACCACTGCTGGGACGTATTTAAAGAAGGCAAATGTGATCTGGTGGAATGGATCAGCGGGTCCAGCAATGAAAGAACAGGGTGACAGTCAGTTAGCTTTCCCACCCCAGCTTTTGTTCTGGAGGTTGGAGGATGCACCTGTTGCAATAAGGAAAATCAAAAAAGCCCTGTTACGTAATGAGAAAATAAACAGGAAAAACCCAGCATGGAAGTGCTAGTCGGTGCAGTAATTATTACTGCATATGGATTCAAAGGCTCCTCTCAACTCCACTCCAATTAGCAAGTGACTATTTCATGGAGATTCCCATGCACCCTCTAGGATCATCTATATACAGTTGCATGTGGATTTAGTGCAAGATGCTTGGGGGTTTTTGTACGTGTGTTGTTGTTTTTTTAAAGCATTGGTGTACGTGACATATGGGGGGGGGGCTCTCAGATGTCATTCGGTTTTTCTGAACATGGTGAGGAAGGCTCCTGAGCCCAGCCTGCAGTCGGACCTTACCCATTAGCTGGTGCCAGTGCTGTAAAGCAGGCACTGAGTTTGCTAGATGCAGTCTGAGAGGGTCTCTAGTCCCCAGCCTCACCTCACTGCATCACCCTATGCACCGACCTAGGTAAGGGCTAGTGGGGCCTCTGGCTCCAGTCACAGTGCTGTTATAGGAAATGAAGGAATAGGAGAGCTTCCTCTGTTTCAGGGCAAGAAAGCACCCCCTTTATCTGCACCCTCTCCCACTTCTTATTGGTGAGCAATGTCTAGGGACAGAGCTTCCAGCTCTCTGAGTTTGTGTATTTTGGGGGGGGTTGGGGGCGGGGTCTGTCTAGACTGGGAAATTTTCTATCCACTTCAGTAAACCAATTTCAATCCTGGGTAGAGTGATAGCACAGAATCGGGTTTAGGTGATTTAAGGCAGCTTGACATTTACAGAACCAGGTCAATAAAAAGGGGTCTGGTCACTATAAAAATCACCTAAGCTAAGGGAGAAAGGGGCAGGTTGCCGTAAGCCACCTAAAACCAGGGCTACCCTGTGGCTGCAACTGGGTTTAAAGTTGATTTTGTGGACTAGGTTTTAGAATAAGTCTGAAAACGTCCCCAGTAGAGGCTAGCTCACAAGTCGTGTTCCCCCATTTCCCACAAAAGGGCAACAGTGCCCTGCCCTCAGAATCATCAGGTAACGAATCAGAGTGTGTCCCTGTGACACAATGCATGTTTCATTGGTTGAACTTCTTGTCATTCCATGCCCAGCAGAGAGGATTTTAGTGGGTGGAATTTCAATTTAAAGGGTCTTAGGCATCTGCTCATGTAGTTGAATTGCTTCTTTCTAATTCACTTCTGAACTCCTGTTGATTTTAACTGCATAGGTTATTCCAGAACCTTCTGCAGAGGAGAGTTAGTTTAGGGAGCATTGCGGGCCGTGGGGGGTGGGAGAAAGTACTTAAAATGAGACACTGCCATTTGGCATGCTGATGTATGAAGTCTTAGCTTTGCCCGTTAGTCTGACGCATGTGGCTGGTACAGCACATTGATGGCCCCATTTGTTTTCAAGCAACACTGGATACAGGAGTTTGTGTTTTTGGATGACATTTCAGTTTAAAGAGCATCATAAAATGTTTGCTAAGAAACAGACTCAATCCTAAATATGGCCAGTTGGCTTCTGTGTTCAGGGTAGCTCTAGGGCTACCAGGAAAAGACGGGATCTAGCTCACCTAAGGGAGTGATGAAGGGGGAGTTCCCTATCTGTGATGCGGTTTAAACCCCTTTTCTAGATGCTGCTCAGCCATCCCTATCTGGGATGATTTTATTCCCTACCTCACAAAGAAATCAAGGCAGAGCAAACATTCCATTTTTGAAATGCACCCAACAATGTGCATTTCTAAAAAATCATTTTCACAGGGAACAATACACCCCCCCCCGGTCTCTGTGCCAGGCCTTTGTTCTCTCCCTGCAAACGACTATGTTCCCGCTCCTGAGTTAACCTTGTAAGCCTTGGTACAGCAGTGAAATTGCCTGTTGCCAGAGCTGAACCTAGCTTGATTGCAAGTGGAGGCAAAGACTGTGTTCAGCACTCTTTTAGAAACTCTGGTCAAGGCTTCATGGCATTCAGCACAGGTTCAGCAGCACACCTTGCTGACACCTGGTATCAGCAGGCTGTAGTTTTGCTAGTGTACAACTCTCGGGCCTTGTCAAGTTTTGGGTTTGCAAAGTTTGTGTTTATGAACCCGTTCCCCACCCCTTGTCATTTAAGCCCATAAGCCACACCCCTCATGATTAAATTTACTAGCTATTCCTGGACACAGGAGCCGGTGCTCTGTAGTACAGATAGAAGATCCTTTCTTCCCCAAACACTAGGTTGGTACGGGCAGGTGATCTGTACATTGTGACTGTTTCCTCTCCTTCCACTTCTGCTCCTTTCCCCAATTTATCACTCAGACCCGTTCTGTTCCAGCCTTTAATTCATTTATATTCGATTTTATCTGCTCCCTACCCACCCCACAAGCCTGATAAGAAGGTGAACCTCCAAAAGTTAGAATGGACTTTCCAACCCCTTCAGGCCCAGTTCGTCCTTGCCCTGCACCTTTGTCATCAACTACAGCTGTGTAAAAAGCACCCACTCTGATCTGGTAGCGTTTCACACTGGCTGCACACAGCTCTAAGCGAGAACACAAGTACAGGACAAGGGAACAAATTCAGGACCCAGAGTCTATAGGAGGGAGCTAAAGGAATTTGTCCAGCCCAGGTTTGCATGTTGATTACTTCCCTATTTTGGATTATGGGTGGCACTCCCAGATGCAGATTTGCCCTACAAGGCTCCTTTTCTATAGCAGGTCAGTTACTCTTTCACTCCAGAGGAAGAACTGATTGATTTAGTGTCTGTAGATTAGAGGAAGCTGGGAGTTCTGCAAAGTGGGGGGAAGGCTATTTGGCTAGTGGAGGAAACTCCTGGTGCTTCCTCTCCCCCTCCCATCTGGGATACGCACAAAGCTTTTAGTAAATGACAACGCTCCTTTGTTTGGGCACCCATGCTAACAGGATGGGACTATAATGGGAAAAGCCGTGACCGTGAGCAGTGACAGTACAGAGAGCCAGACAGTGAGTGCCCAGAAAGCTCATTGAGCATACTGCTAACAAGGAGCAGGAAACAGAATCTGCTTTTGAGCTATAAAGGAAGCAGAGCCCAGATGAGGTGACGCAGGGCCATTGTATAGGTGTGAGTGGCAAAGAAGGAGCATAGAAGAGGTGGCATAACAGACAGAAATTTTGTGGGGAGTGGGTAAGAGCAGGTATGGGGATGATATCCTGAGCCCCACTTTATAGATCTCTTTTGGTCCCCCATTCCCTGGACACAGGCACAAGACAAGACATGTCCTGGAACCTTTTGTTCAGTTTCTTTCATTCTGAACAGGCCCACCAGCCAAGTGGCTGAGGGGTCATTCACTTCTTTTCATGCAAGCAAACCATCCTTTGTGGGGAGAGAGGGCTCACTACTTTAAGTTCCTTCCGCAGCCTTTTTAAATTCAGGGGCTGTGTCTTTGCTGCTTCTAAGCAAGACAAGTTAGCTATCTGTAAAATCTAGTGGAGACAAGGCACAGGTAAATTTCACCTCAGTGCAGTTAGGGGACCCAGGGTTGACCTCGCCTAGCTACATCAAGGTGAAAATTACAGAACCTCATCTCTATTAGGATTTTACAAACAAGACAGGTATGGTTATCTTGCTGCAAGAATAGGCCTTTTTTGGCAGCCAACACATAGCTGGTATGTAATGGTCCCAGTAATTGTGAAGTGCTGGGAGGCTGCATCTTGTGATCAGAGCAGGGAGCTAGGAACCAGGACTCCTCGGTTTGATTCCCACAACGACCACTAGCTTGTGTCTGCGGGTAAGTCACTTACTCAGTCTGCCCATCTGTAAAATGCGGATACTATTACCCACAGTCAAGATGTGCTGGGAAACGTAATTAACAGCTGACAAAGCCCTTTGAAATTGTGGAACGAAAGGTGCTAGATAAAAGCAAGGTATGCTGGCTGCAGTTACCTGAAATGAGAGCAGTGGCTAGCGGGTCTCTAGCAGAGAGTTCGGGTTGCAGTGAGCCTATCCCAGCACTTCTTTGATCCCAGTATGTGTCCAACTTTGCTTTCCTCTCCTTGCTGTGGGCAAGCAACAGCAGGGGGAAAGCCTGCTCTGAGAACGAATGAATAAATAAAACAATAAAAAAAAATAAATCCTGCTATCCCCACTCCCTAGTTCTGCCAAGCAGGGGCAGAGCCAGCGATAGCCAACTGGGGGCCCTAAACAGAAATATCCCCCCCCAACACTAAAATAGGCAAGTTCTTATAATAAAAAGTGAATGGAGGGCCCCTTGAGCTGCTCGGTGCCCTAAGCAATTGCTTAGCCTGCTAATACTTAGCACTAGCCCTGAGCAGAGATTTCCCTTTGTCTGATGCCAAAGCCCACTTTATGTGTGGAGCGAGGCATGTGTGTTTGTGCCCCTCTGTGTATGGGAACAAGGGAGTGTTGACAAGAAGATGCAGTTAACAAATTTTCTTCAAAGAGTGACAGCTCCGGTCACAATGCTCCTACCTCTGCGAGAGGGAGCAGAGCTGGGTGTGACTTGCGGGAGATCCCTACCCATGGCCACTAAAGGGCATGGCGACTCAATGCAAACACTGTTGTGGCTCAGATTTCTGTGGGATGCTTGAAGTGGCACATAGAGATCTTCTGTCTGAGAAGGTTCATGCCAGAGCTTCAGTCCTGGCTCACAGAGTCTGAGCAGAAACAGCATCTAAAACAAGCTCCGCTCTTCGAGCGAGAGGGTGGCCCTGTGTTTAGGGCACTGGTCTAGCACGCGGGAGACCTAGGTGCAAATCTTGGCCCTACCACAGACTTCCGGCAGGCTCTTGGGCCTCACTTAGTTGACCCTGTGCCTCATCTGTGAAACTGGGATAGCAACACTTCCTTTGTCTATTTAGGCTGTAAGCTCTTTGAGGCAGGAATTGCCTCTCCTGGTATCCCTACAGCGACTAGCACAATGCACCGGGCACCTTGGCCCTCCAGGAGTAGAAATAACAGATGCAGAGGGTCCAGGCCGCAAATGAGGGGTGCAGAGTTATGAAAGCTCGTTCCCACCCTCCCTCCTTGCATTGCTCCTAATGGTGCTGCCTCAGCTTTGGGGAGCTTGGCTCCTGCCTGTTGTCTCGTAACCCCTTCCCAACTTCACAGCCTCGTTTACCACCGCCTCCTACTCTCAGGACAGCCTCCTTGCTACCGTGTGCTAAACCTGCGCCACCACCAACTCCTCCCCAAAAACCCCTCCCCGCACCCATCATTCCCGCAAAACCACTCCCCACACTCTACTTGCTCTATGCTCCACACGCCCCCCCCTTGTGCCTTTGGCATGAGAGCGCCATGGGGCAGCGTGGGGCGGCCAGGACCTGGGCAGCGGCATTCACATTTCACAGGTGCCCATTACAAGCAAGACATCCCCTGCTTCAGGGGTTCTCAAACTTCACTGCACCGCGACCCCCTTCTGAGAACAAAAATTACTACACCTGAGCCCTGCCGCCCCGGGCTAGGGGAGCCAAAGCCCAAGGGTTCAGCCCTGGACGGGGGCCTGTAACCTGAGCCCCACCAGCCGAGGCTAAAGCCAAAGCCAAAGCCTGAGCCCCTCGTTCATGGCTGAAACCCTTGGGCTTTGGCCCCAGGCAGTAGGGCTCAAGCTTCAGCCCTGGGCCCCAGCAAGTCTAATGTCAGCCCTGGTGACCCCATTAAAACAGGGTCCCAACCCACTTCAGGGTCCCGAACCACAGTTTGAGAACTGCTGCCCTACTTCACCAAGCCAGACAGCTGGGTGGGGCTTTCAAAGTTAAATCCCAGGAGAGGATTTCAGAGACTGCTCAGCAAGATGCGCCGAGTGGGGAAAGAATCAGGTGCAGAGGCCGGGAAGGGCTCCTCTCTGCCATTTTAGGTTTGTTTTAAAAAAACTTGGGCACCCAAATCCTGTCCTTCCCTCTCCCCAAATGAAAAAGCCACCAGAGGATCTTTGGCCACATTTCTTCCACGTAGTTTAAATCCTTATCTATAAATAGGGTGACCATACATCCGGTTTTGGCCAGGACAGTCCCTTGGCCAGCCCCAGCCTCGGGTGGGGGCAGGCAGGGTTTGAGTGAGCGGCAAAGCCAGCCCCAGTCTTGCACGGGGGGTGTGTGTGTGTGTGTGTGTGTGTGAGAAGCAATGCTAGATAGAGCTGTACCCTTCTCACGGCAGGAAGCATGTTATTTGGGTGTAAAGCTCTGCAATCCCTACTGCATACATAAACCCAAATGAGCCCCACCTCGCCACTTGTATCTGTTATGGCACATCTATGGCACCCCATCATCATCACAGCTAAGTGGCAAGCAGAGAAGTAGAATGAATGGGACAGATGTTGGGTGCTGGGCAGGCTGCTGTTCAATGAAACCTCCCCTTAGATTGACATTGTTCTGTGAAAAGCAAACAATAACTTCACTCGTTGGGGTATTTGCCAGCGGCTTGCATCCTGATGAGGCTCAATGGTTGTTTTTGCTAACAGATTATTCCAGGTTCGGTTGCCAGGGTTTAAACCGGTTTCAAATACAAAAATCTCTGTTAAAAAGAGGTTACTTAGCTTGCAAACTGGAGCACTTGAAAGTTAGGAAATGCCAGACTGTCAATTGCCCCAGCACTCTTAATTCTGACCCCTTATGCATCCATCGTGTGCACCGAAGGAGGCCAGGGCCTGTGGAAAACACAGTGTGGGATCACGTAATTAAAGATTGTAGCATAATGCATACATCAACAGGCTCTGAATTAGGGGTTCAGGGACAACTGGCAACCTGACCTTTGAGCGCTTTACTTGGCCACCTACCTAATGTTCTTTTAACACAGATCTTAGTGGATAATTTCCTAGTTTAAAATGAAAAAAATAAAAAAAAGGTAAAAATAAATGATGTTACAGGCACCTGGAACAACCTCCCACCCTGCATCTTCAACTGGGTTTGAACCCCAAACCTTCCCGTGCAGACGGCAAGCACGCAATCTGCCCGACAGATTTCATTAGCTAACAGCAAGAGAAGGCTGTTTTCCTACCGATAGGGATGGGCTAATGGATCCAAGCAGTGATCCGTGCGGACTGAAGGGAAGTCCAGCCAGGTCTCGCTCTCTCCCCACATTTATATGATCACAACTGAACACATTGGCCCAGACCTGCTTGGGTAAGTCAAATTGGTGTAGCTCTCCATAGCTAACACTTTGCCAACTGACACCAGCGGAGGAGATTGTTCCTCGGACAGAAACCAGGGTTTGTTTTTTTTTAACTTATTAAAAGAATTCAGAGACAAAACTAGAGGCCCAGAGAAGGCCAGGATGAAATTGTGACCTTTAGCATACATTCAGAAATACAGCCAGGAGGGAGGTAACATAGCCAAGAGGAGAAGATGGGGCATCTAAGAGACATAGCAAAGTGTCTAAGTTGAGAATAGACCATTTTCAGTGGAACCCACCCAACTTACTAGCCTTCCACTTTCAGGCCTCAGAGCAGGGTATGTGGGTAGAAAGGCTGCTGGGAGGGAGCCTAGCGCCTGCCTATGACTCTCTGTCTGGGTACCAGTTCAACAAAGAATTCAGCATGAATCCAACTGCTCAGCCTAAAATGTCCATAGGAGAGAACCTGGGAGGGGTGTCGTTGGATTTGGGGTACATGCTGACAGCAGAGCACCCAGAAATTCAGCCATCCCTGCCTAGAACCGGCCGTGGGTCCTCTACCCTATGTCGGCTTTCCACATCCTGTGGCAGCGTCGGGGGATCAGTACGCCCATCGGGTGAAGCAGTCAGCGGCCTGGCTTGCGGTCACACAAGTGCACAATTGACAGTTCAAGATTGTAAGTGCAAGTTCAGCACGTCAACAGGCAGTCAAGATCTCAGGCCTCCGAAGGCGAGGGCTGAGCAAGTAAGCAGTCCATATTTCCAGATTTCTGGCCTCAAGGTTAGCACGCAAACAACCCCATGTACGGGGCTGGGATTCGGGGGGGCTGGGCCCATGCTGCTCTATAGGGTCACCACCCAGACAATCCTGCCACAGGGTCAACGGGCAGTCGCTGCCTCATATCCTGGCAGCGCAACTAGACCAAAGTCTTGTTTCCCCTGGTTACTCCCTACCGGCTCCTGCTGGCGCTGCTCCATTGTCACTGAACCTGACTTAGTCTCACGGTCAGGCAGCGCTTCCTCCCGGCTCCTGGGATCGTGGATTGCCTTTTCTCCCTGCTGCCAGTTGGCAACTTGGCTGAGGGCTCAGCACCCTGGGAGGGATATCAGCCTCCTTCCCTGGTCCAGCTCCAACTGAACATCAGGGCCCTGCTCTTATACTTCCTGCCCCACCTCTGCACTTCTTGCCAAGGGACAGGGTGGGGGTAGCTGCACCCACCTCTTAACCCCTTTGGAACTGGAAAGAAGCCACTTTCACACATCTCCACCACTTTATGGGCACCATCACAGCCTTTTTGCTCACATGCCCCACAGTTCACTGCACCTGGGGGTTCACCAAGATTAGCAGAGCTCAGTTCAGCCTCTACCCAGCTCTGGAAAGGAGATAGGCATCCCAGGGGAGGGGAGGGAGATATAGGAGCACAGTGCTTTGCAAGAGAAGTCTGAAAGCGGCCTACCATCATGCCCATCTGTAGCCAGTACTATCCACCCCTCATCTTCCCAAGCAATTAATGGAAAATAAAGGCTCACGAGTCTTTTAACATGACTTTATGATCAAGATTGCACTAACCCCTTTTACTTGTCATATTACAAGCTTGCCTCTTCGACAGGCAGGAAGAAAAATCCCTTGATAGGATTTGTGCGTAATTAGCGGGTTTATTCATTTAGTAGGCCTAATTCAAAGATCAGTAATATGTGAAAAGGGTGCAGGGTTTCAAATCTACGTAGAGCACAACCAGCTTAAACCAATACCTGATAAAAGAACAAATCTGAAAGAGAGGTATTTACCATGCAGCAGGCTTGGGCTGGTAAATTTGGAGTTTATAGTAAAGCCTCTCTTAAGAAAAGCATGTCAGAGGAAATAAACCTATTAAGCAGAAATGGTTGCTAACTGTCCAACAAAGCAGTGAGATTTTCACTGTACAAGCTCGTGTTTTTGCAGGGAGATGTATTCCTCAGCCAGCTGCATGTCCAAACCCTTCCACAACAGCACTGAGTGGATGTTAGGGCTAGCTAGAAGCCAGGGCTGAAGCTGGGAATCTGAACCTGCCCCTAGCCCAGGTGGATACAGGTCCATGGTCCAGTACAAACAGCCCCAGGCTGGAAATTCCTGTTCTTGGATCCAAACTCACCCACAGGCCAAGATGCTTGGGAGCCAGTATTCAGTTTGGCTGTTGCCCTACCTAGAATCTAATAGATTTAACAATTGCTACATAATATAAAGGCTACAGTTACACATTAGAAAACTCAGCGGACTGGGCACAATCCCTCAGGATTCTGCTTCTGTTTCACTGCCCTCAAAGGCTTCAGTTACACCAAAGCTGCCAGAAAGATACTTGCTGCCCCTGTAAGGGTAAATTCGGGCACCACAAGCTTTGTGGCCTACCCCTCTGTTACACAAGGTCCAGTTTTTCTGAAACTCCTCTGTATAGTTAACAGGGGAGAACATTTTATTTAATAAATACCCGTAATGAAATAATAAAGGAACATAAAAATTCCCCTCGGCTAGATCCATTCAGAGCTATAATCTGTCTCAGTACTATGTAGATCTAACGTCTCCCAAAAGCTTACAAGCATCAATGTTTGCTTTTGCTCCTTTTAGGACAGTGCTAACTTGGGCCTCCTCTGTTGGCTGAACAAGACTTTCTTCTCCCCATAACCAGTAACGGTCTTGTCCTGCTTCTCTCAGAACCGCTCAACCTCTAGTTCAGTTTTTCTTTTCCTAAATAATCTCTTTCTCACGACAACTCCAATTCCTGCTTCGCTGAGCGTCTCACAGACACTTGCTTTCCTCCAAGACTTAAGGTGACTACGTGTGGCCTCATGTCTTCCTTGAACGCACAACCCAGGGGAGCTCAAAGGAAAAGAGCCCTCTTACAGCTAGTTTAAAATTAAAAACCACACTTCTGCCACTAAAAACAGAGCAATTGCTCTTGGGGCCCCGTGTGGACAGATCCTTCCATTCCTTCTCTTCCCCCATGTATGGCCTTATATCAGGGGCCTAATCTGCTGCAAAGCAAGGCTCCTAGCAACCTACTGCACACAGCTGGCCCCGATAGAAGCTGTTAGATTGACTATGCTGGTTGAAGGAGTCAGGAAGCTGATACTCAACTGCAGGAGCAGTCCAGTAGCTACTCACTGTATTCCTAGCCTGCAGCTTGGTGCTTGGTTCTGGTCTCTAGCCCCAGCTTCTTCCGATTGCTGACTCAGACCCTTGGCTCTACCTTCTGCCGATGACTCCAGCTAACACTGTGGCTTAGGCTTCTGACACTTGGCTATGACCCTTAGCTTCACTCCTGGGCCTGCCCCCATCAGTTTTCAGTGCTAACTGGTAGGCTGAAGTCTTGTTGCAACCACGAGACCAGGCTGCCCGGACTTAGTTGCTGACATTAACATTATTTGAGTTTTCAATATGTTGCTTTTGTCAGGATCCCAGGACTCGCATTTGCTTCAGAGGAAACCATCCCCAAATAGCACAAGGGCTTTTCTGCCTGTGCAGTGTTGTTAATTCAGCCTTCTTTGCGTTTCCTGTTCTGACATTCTGGAATTAGGAATTGTGAGGTTGGAAGCCTGCAATGGGGAACTGAACTGAGACACGCACAGGACAAAAAAAGGATTTACATTAAAAATATTTAGGTAGAGAGTAATGGAGTGTTTCAGCTGTAATGAATCAATCCTCACCACATACTTGGTGAAGATAATCAGAATTTCAACAGATGGGGAGACTAAGACATGGAGCATTTAAATGGCTTTTCCAGGTTCTCAGGGGGAATCCAGAAGCAAAGCCAGAAGTAAAAGAGGTGTTCCCTGATCTCAGTGGACAGTGAGTTAGTAATAATTAAAAAACACATTCACTGCTGCAGATGAGACTAGATGCTGATGCATGGTTGCAGCCATGCATATTTGTCATCTACAGATTATATAGGGTAATGCTAATATTACAGGTTTCAGAGTAACAGCCGTGTTAGTCTGTATTCGCAAAAAGAAAAAGGAGGACTTGTGGCACCTTAGAGACTAACCAATTTATTTGAGCATAAGCTTTCGTGAGCTACAGCTCACTTCATCGGATGCAAATGTAGCTCATGAAAGCTTATGCTCAAATAAATTGGTTAGTCTCTAAGGTGCCACAAGTCCTCCTTTTCTTAATGCTAATATTCTGGCTTTTAAAAATCTGATTTCATAAGACTACTGCTGAAAGACTTTTTTTTTTAAAACAGCAAAGAAATTCTTAGATATCCAGCTTTTTAGTTAAGCATTTATTTTAAAATAAATCTGCTCCTGTTTAAGTGGTGTCACTCCTATCATACAAGGCTAATTTAAAGATCTTAAATACACCTGCATTTTAATAGGGAAACCAGGTAATTTGTTTTTTTTTTAAAAAACCATTTATGAATACAGCAATACACCACAATGTTCACAAGGGGGCATTATCACTCTCTGTGTGGGTAAATAGTTTTCAGTAATAGGTATTTTAATGTGCTGAAATTGAAAGACTAGTAAAACAGTTATTACAGAGAATTGGCAAGAAGGAGATTTATCTCTCCCTGCAAGCCAGCCATTAAGGAAAATAAAAACTGCTCAGAGCAATCCTTCCTCCTTTCTGCACCACCTGATGTGTTTTTGCTGTCTCCTGGGAAGTTCAATAACATTGTAAAATCCTGCTCTGGGGGTACTATGCAGAATCCAGCCACAGAGGATTAAAGTATCTAGTTTTCACTTGCTAAGCCTGGGAAGGAAACCAAACCCCTTTTCCTCCCAGCAATAAATGTCCTGCCAGGAAGATAAAACAGACACATATTTTGCTAATACTGCCATCATGTCTTCAGTGTCAGGCAGGCCAAGTCACCCTGTGCAGAAAACTACAGGGTCTTGGGAGTTTAAACAAATATTTGGCAAACACTTGTTCCCTTGCAAGAGGATGAGAAACTACATGGATTGGTGGAAAGGGAGTCCTATGAACTAGGGAAGTAATGCCTTGCATCAGTGCTAGGAGACATTGTGGAAAGGACCAAACAACTGCTATTACATGGCTAGTCCTGAAAGGTGATCCTTACAGTTTGAAAAATTTATCAAACCAGCCGAAGGAAGGTGGCACACAAGGACTTCTGGCCACATTACCAGGGCTGTTCTGGACTATACGAGTTAGATGCACCTGACCAAATCTGCATCTGTATTTCTGCTTAAAGCTCACTCTGCTCTCTCCAACCTCCTACAGCTAAAGCACCCAAACGTGAAACAAAATACAGTGGTATTGAAGAGGTGTAGGCATATGAAGCCTTATTGACCTCCAGGCATGTAAACAGTTTGCACTGAATGCTGAAAATAAACAAGTGATTGCAACTCTTATACCAACTTTCAGGGGTGGGAGAGCGAGAACATGCACACTATGAGGTGAGGAGACTGCAAGAGTTCAGAGAATGCCCCAAAGCTCTCTCCTCATGAGAAAGCCCTGTTTTCAAGAGGAGCTAACTTGGCTAAGTGAATTCTCAGCAGCAGTGTGGCACATCACTAGATGTGCTGGGAAATCGATCTGTGAAGGGCAAACACAGCTAAGCTGCAGCTTTTTGTGGGGACAACGAACACCATGCATGCCACTAGCCAGGACCCACAATAGGAGAGCCTTCAGCAGTAGGTGTGCGCGCGCACAGACTAGGGATAGGGTAGGGGTGCACGCCAGTGAGACTTCTCACGGAATAACTCCAGGCAACACTCACTGCTGGGCTGTTTGATGCTTTTATTTGCCTCACATAACACTACTATTTCCTGTTTGCAGGAACCTCAGGCTGCACTGCAAGTTACACAGCTCCACACACTTAAACAGGGGGAAGTATAGGTTTATGCCCACACTCAGCAAGGTCAAAGTGGGGTCTTAAAACATGGTTCAAATTTTTTAAATACACAAAACCCCCAGAGGGACTGTTCTACAGAAGCATCAAAGCGCTTAAGAGCAACAGGTAGAGCTGGGGAACACTAGGTGAAATACAGTCTAGGGTGAGAGGCCCTGCAAACTGGTCTTGTTCCTTCAGCTGCCCTTCTTTCTAATACAGGTAAATAATGGTCTAATCAGGTGACTAGTGCTTTCAACCAGAACCAGGGCTGTCTGACCCGCGGAGCTTAGTTGATACGGGGGTTCCTGAAGTTCCTGCCGGCAAAGCGGGCCTTGCTTCCGAGTTCCTCCTCAATTCTGTTTGGGAAAAGAGGGGGACCAAACAAAAGAGAAAGGAGCGTAAGCACAGAACGTGGTACATCTATTCACAAGACTGCCTGGCTGGACTGGCAGCAACAACAGTGAGGGAGCAAAACCCACCCACAGAGTAGTACTGTAGAGGACAGTGATCTCACCACACACGCTTGAAGCCCTCCCTGTGACATTTCTGCCACAAAACCGAAGTTCAGCAGCCAACACAAGCTAGCGTGCATTACACTGTGCCACTGGTCATATGCGGTTTCCAAATATGCAGCTGAATTTGGGCTTGTCTTTTTGTGGGGCACAAGCACCTTGGCGAGGGACAGTATTTTCCTTCATGTCATACCCATGGAGGAGTCAAGAGTCTGCTTAGTAGCTGACCACATGCATTGCATGCTGTGCCCCACCCAGCTATGGACAAGACATTCTGCTGACCTTCACATGAACAGTTAACGTCTACACCTCATGCCAAGCAACTCTCGGGTATTGCAGGATACTTCCTAACTATAATCTCCCTGTGGTGTATTCAGTGTGTTTAAGTGCAGTGCCGTCCATACCAAGGGCAATGACTCCAGTTGCTGTCAAGGCATGGCATAGCATAAGCAGCACAGACATTGGCTGATTATGTTTTCTGGGCTAAAAGTGGTAGCATTTCATAGAACTAGGGTTGCCACAGGTCACGAGATAAGGGCTTCTTCATTTGAATAGAGGGACCAAGCTGTGGCTACACCACCTATGTTTATAAGCCCACAGGGGCAACATGGAAAGTTCTACAAGGGCCAGCTAGGGACCCCCCAAATCTTTGAGGCACTTAGCCCTTTGTATTTGGTCAGTCCAGAATGCATGGCAGCACCCACTGGTCTCCCTACAGTCAGCTAGGAAGGTCTTAGCCAGTGGTAGCTTGTGCCCTAGCATGGCAATGGAGACTGCTCTGGTTCCACTGGACTCTTGGAGAGCCAGCACAGCATCACCAGAGACCAAGTTGTCAGACGGACAATGTCTTATACCCTGTTCTTAGAGCAAGCCCGCAGGCTACTTAGTCCCCTTCCTCCCCACTCCAATCCAGAGCAATCCTCACCTCAGGAGCTGATTGTACTTTGCTAGACGCTCAGATCTGCAAGGGGCACCAGTCTTGATCTGAAAGAAAGGTCAGTAAGTTACTTTGGGGTTAAAACAGATCTGCTCTTAAGAGTTGAAGGTGTGAAGACAAATGCCCTCCTATGGTAGGAGATAAGAACAATCATGTCCTTAATAATAATAAATCGAGTTGAGCATGGTGGAAGGACAAACAATCAGAAGTTTGATCAGCTAACCTGAATTAAGCTGGGTGGAAATTGGATTCCAGTAGTGAATAGTGCACTCACTCATTTTATTGCTGGAAGTTACAGTATCAGGAAATCCTGGCACACCCACATGGATTAATCTGAAAGATTCCTCCCTTGTTTTAGTAGTGACATCACAAGGAAACAATATCTCCGCTTACTGAGAAAGAGCATCAGTATGTTTTGCCATAGCTACTATTACAGACTGGTGGCCTCCCATATAGCAATAGAGGGAAATCCTTGTGCCTCAGAGGTCATTAGGATCATCTATTTCTTGCTACAAAATGACTTCTGTTCTATGAAAGAAGGAAGCCAGGTGACTAGAGGGGGACCATTCCAGGTACAGACACTGACCTGTCCAGTGCAGAGACCAACCACCAGGTCAGCAATGAAGGTATCTTCAGTCTCTCCAGAACGGTGACTCACCATCACACCCCAGCCATTGGACTGGGCAAGCTTGCAGCTAAAGCAAGAGAAATAGGAGTAAGATTCTCACCACTCGTACAAAGGATACCAAGTATTGCTAATTACTGCATGATCCAGCCTCAGGTTTATTCAGTTAATGTTGATATTGGTGTTAAGGATGCAATGATGCACTGCCAAGAGAGTTATTCAGAGAAGCGAAACAGTCATCCAGCCCATTGCTTCATAGGCACTTGTGGCTGACTTGTTTTAAGATGTTTCAAGCACTGCACTGAATACTCTTCCATCAGGAGGCAGAAGACAGTTTTGTGTGTGTGTGTGTGTGTGTGTGTGTGTAAGTAATTCAGGTGGTATTTGAAGTGCAAGTACCTAGCCCCACAGTGATGTTATGAAGTTGGTCTGTATATCTGTAAGGTGACTTACGCCTGCAGGGATTCCATGACAGAGCCAATCTGGTTCACTTTGAGCAACAGGCAGTTGCATGATTTCTCCTCCACAGCTTTAGCAATACGCTTAGGATTGGTCACAGTCAGGTCATCACCCACCACTTGAACACCCACGCTGGCAGTGAACTTCTTCCAAGCTGACCAGTCATCCTGGTCAAAGGGATCTTCAACCGACACCACTGAGAAGGGAAGCAGAACGGGTATTTTAATTAACAGCCTCAGCATCCAGGAAGAGTTCAAGCCGTGGCACTTGAAATATCATTTAACAGAGTCTAGTGCTCCTAAAGGCAAAGCTAATTATAGCCAGGTGATGTTTAGGGTTATGACATGTACTTATGCACCTGACACCTCCCTGCTCAGGACTTTGCATAAGCAGCTTTGAAACTGCATCTACTATGAAGCAAATCCCAAGCACAGGATTAAAGGCTATTTTATGAACTGTTTAACCTCCACTCAAGCCCACTCAGTTTCTTTAGTTCTAGTGCACCAAGAGGTGGTGGGAGGAGGAAGACCTGCCAGGGAGTACACCATCTATTACTGGCTGCCTGTTAACTAGCAGCATGTACCACTTACATGGGTAGCTCTTGATAAAGCTCTTGTACAGATCAGCCAGCTGGTCAGGAGAGATGTATCTGCTGGGGTCATCAGGAGACTTGAAGTCCAGGTCGTACTTTCCATCACGATAGAACTCTGAGGCAGCCACATCCATCCCAATGACCACCTTGTCAGTGTAGCCAGCCTTGCTGATCGCAGTCTTCAGCAGCTCCAGAGCTGAAAGGTTAGATAGTGGGTTATAATGAATTCCTGGGTAACACTTTTAACACCACTTTTGTAGAAAATGCATGCTGTAAGCCTCAAGATGATCCACATTCTATTACTATCTTATCCGGGGGGCCTTGGGCAAGTCACTGACTTCTCCCCATCTGTAAAATGAGATTATTCCTTACCAGCCTTTTAGGGGTGTTACAAGGTCTTATTGACCAATGACTGTACAGCACCAGATACTCCTGGAGCATTTTACCACTTCATTTATCTTTATGATACCCCATATCAGCCTCAGAGAGATACTTAACAATCTTCACCCACCATTGACATGAAGCCACCTCTGAGGTGGAGTGCAACTGCCCATATCAACATCAGTTAACAATTAAAGGACAGGAAATGAATACCATTTCCAGTTTCAACTGCAGTGGGAATTTAGCTAGGCACGAAGTAATGGCCTGCCTGAATCCTGTCTAGTTTTAACTCCTGCAGAAGCACAGACAGAGCTGGTAAGGGGAAAGGTCCTGAGAGGCATTAATAGAAGTCAAAGTAGTAAATTTAGCCTGATGTTGAGTGGGACAGAAGAGGACTGTATTTCCCCTAGTGATCTGTCAGGATTCCAGTTACACACATTCCCCTCTTTTCCTTGGAAATGAGAGGTTATTTCTGACAGAAGGCACGGCTGCTGAATCCTCTAAAACATGATACCACTTGGCAGTCTGAAGAGCAAAGTGCTGGGTGATCACCATGCAACAGAAATACAAACCCATCCCTCCATGGCCTCTCCCAGATTTAGAGGCAAGTGGCTGCTGGACCGGCCAGACTGTGTACAGTAACAACTTTGATCAGTACTTTTTAGAAAAGTAAACAGTTGATATTAGAGTAGGGCAAGCTGCAAAAGCAGCAGCCGGTACTAACACAAGTCTGTGGAACTTCCAGAACTCAAAGAGTTGTGTTAATTGTTTGCTATTTATATTTAACCAGCAGCTTCATTTTTAAAAAATGCCAGTGTAGAAAACCAATAAACTGTCCATTCAGTACCATGAAGGGGAAGAAGCTGCCTGTAGAGTCAGAGACTCTGGGACTCTAGTGTTTGCTCAAGCATCTCTAATGTTGCTGAAGGGACTGCTATGTAGAGGTTGGACAGTTATGCACCATAATGGTTACAGTGAAAACTGTCAGTTACATTCAAAACTGAAACAGCTTCCTGCTGATGCAGAGGTGTTCAGTTCCCCTGTGGCTCAGAGGCTGCTCCCCTGCCACCGACTTGGCAGACACACAGCATTTGCTGGAGGCTCCTCGGTAAATGTATTTTCCATGTTGCTGGAAAGCAGATCCCCTTTCCCGGAGGCTTGTGCTGTCTCAGGGACTAAGGAATTGGAACAGAGGCCACCTTTGTTCCACTTCCCCAGCAGCTTTTCTTGCTCACTGATTATTACAGTGCAAGCTGTCCCTTCTCTCTGGAGCATTAGGAGACAGACCAGCCCCAGTGAAGTCTCTTCACTTATTTACTTTTGAGCAACAGCAACCTTAGGCATAAGAACTAGAAGAGTTTAACCACACTGCTAGCTGGGATGGGGTGTCCTCCACCCAGCATACATAGGAAATGAAATTTATGGAAAAATTATATCACCTTGTTAATCCACATGAATTCATGGAATGGAGCTACTAGTCCCTACCCGCACATGGCCAAGTATGTCTCCATCTCCTGTTGGCCATTTAGCCTTCTGGAGTCAGTGATAGGGGGCATTCAGTACACCAGCTTTGCACTGGAAGCCCTATGCGACTGGACCAGCCCTTCTGGGAAAATGGAAGGGGGATGGATGTATACTTCAGTGACCATTAAGAGTTAATAGAAAGGAAGAAGTCCCTCCACCAGAGATCAGCAAGACTGGTAGGCCAGTAGCCTGACATATTTGGAGCCTATGATGGGCTGAAGCAGCTGAGCCAGTTACACAGCCGTGCACACGACTGTTGGTAGAGTTCTATTTCTCCACCCATCTCTGCTTTGTACCTTCTTTGTTCTCCAAGATGTTGGGTGCAAAACCACCCTCGTCACCCACATTGGTTGCATCCTTTCCGTACTTCTCCTTGATGACATTCTTCAAGTTGTGGTAGACCTCAGCACCAATACGCATTGCTTCCTTGAAGCTCTCAGCACCAACCGGGAGGATCATGAACTCCTGCATGGCCAGCTTGTTACCAGCATGGGACCCACCATTGATCACATTGAAGGCCTTGACAGAAGAGAACAGAGGAAGAGTTAGCTACTCCACTTCGCCCTCCATCTTTAGCCATGACCAATACAGTGTAACTAAGCAGTGCAATGAGATATGCCCATTTCCCTTTCCACCAAACAAGCTGTCCAGAACACCCACCCTTATCCTGGACCTGTGGAAATCAACGGAAACACACCTACTGAATCATAGGTGTAGGATCAAACACCTGATCATTTGGACCCCATTCTACTATGCTGCTGGCTCACTCACCCTGGACATGGAATGCATTCTTATTCCGCATGAAACTCTTGCATGCTCTCCCTGAATAAGGAATCAAGGGAGAGTTGCACCTTAACTCTCCTGTCACTTGAGTTTACAATGAAGACCACCATGCATAGGTAGGTCTATTTCATCTGTGCTTTAAACCAAGGGTGACAATCCAGAAGGGTTCTACTAGGAGACCCTCAAATTCCTGAGGCCAAGAGATAGGCTGCTCTCCCAAATCAGAGTACTGTGCTAATGCATCTTGCATAGTCAGTCTTCAAAGGATGGGGAATGAGATTTTTCAAGCACACATGAGTTAGAAGCAAGAGGCCCTGTGAAAGTCAATGAGGCTTGTGCTCCTAAATCACAGAGGAAAATGCCACCCAGGCAGATTAAGTATCCAAATGTCTGACTCAGGAAACCTACAGGAACTGGCAGGATGACTTCTGGGTTTCCCGCAAGGTCAGCAATGTGACGATACAGGGGGACCCCCTTCTCAGCAGCACCAGCTTTGCACACAGCCAGAGACACACCCAGAATGGCATTAGCCCCAAACTTGGCTGAAACACAAAAACAAAACAATTACATGGTTTATATAGACAATGCCAATCCTCCTCAAAAAGCAACACCTCAGCAGCACTATTGTGATAACTGTTTTAAAATGTATAAACCACAAACTTATACAACTCCCCTTTCCTTCACTCCCACTCTAAGATGGCATGAAGTTCAGAGTAACTTACAATAGTTTAGACATGGAATTCTCACGGAAGTCTCTATGGGCACACGCACTGCCAGTATACATCCTAGTAGGTACACAGTACCTACAATCACAGCAGCAGAACTGATTGTGAAGTGGATGCCTTATTTCTTAACAGCTATCCCTTTACTCAATTAGAGATGGCCATCAACTACTTCAGCACCATGATGTAGGGTTAATCATGGATAGAGTACACTTCTCTTGGCCCTCCCAAACAACCTCAATTACTTTGCACCACAATGCGGCACATACCTGGTGCTGAAAAGGTACATCTGTGTGTTGTGGAAAAAGACACTTACACTTGTTTTCTGATCCATCCATCTCCAGCATCAGTTTGTCAATCTTCTCTTGCTCCACAACGTTTATGTTCTGCAAAGGGAAGAAGAGTGAAACCCCAAGAAATAAAGCCATGCTGTACAGTTCAAAGCAATCCCCCTTCTCCAGTGTCACCTACCTGTAGATTCCCCCCAAATTTCAGCTTCAAAACCTGTCACTAATTTGAGGTCAGATGATACCTCATGTGTATGTCCGGCAGATATGAAGAATTTCATGAGGGTAACTAAGTAGCAGCAGAGCTAAGAGGCTAGACATGCATTGTGATTGTATGTGAATTTCAGCTTCTAGCTAATTATAGTAGGACTTGAAGTTCAGTGGATACACCAAAGAGAGCCAATAGGAAACTCAAACCCTGGTGAATTCCAGCTGTCTTACTCTTGAACTTTGAAGGACACCCTTAAACATGCCTCATTTGAAGGACACTGCCCTTGGCCTCATCCTGGCCTGGCAGAGGAGAAACCAATGAAGGTTTATATTCCTCCTTTAGCAAGTACAAAGGTCCAGTGATCCTAGCTCAACGAGACTCTACACTCAAGAGTATGACTCCTTCAGACAAACTGAAGCTAAATATGAAACCAAACCCCATGCTTTCTTTAAAAGACAGCTGTCAGAATGAAGTGCCATTACATTTTCATTTTGAATGCTGGACACCAGGAATAAATATGCACTGAGTTCACCATTTAGACTGTTGTATGCAGCAACACATGCAACATTACCCCAGACTAAGTCACAGATGACCAGAACAAGTGATGCTATTCTGGCTAAGTTAGGGTTACATTTGCACTTTTTAATGGAAGCAGTTACTGGATTCAGAAGAGAGTTATTTTAGGTCGATTTGTTCTCATGCACTCATACACAGGCCAGCTACACATTAGCTACACATCCAGCTCCTTTAAAAAGGGACAAAAAAAATAGAGCTAGAAAATCTACTTGCGTTAAATGAGGTTAAACAACCAATGCTCCTACCTTGCTAATCAGTGCAGGTGCAATTGTTTTATTGATGTGCCCAACAGCTTTTGAGACACCTGGAAGGAACAAGCAAATCAATCACTAATCAAACACAGGCTAAGCAGGCATTAGTAGATGATCACTTGAAAAAAATCCAACCCCAATCACCTGTCATTCAGATTCTCCCCTAACAAAACCTTAGACTTGGTAGTGAAAGCTAAGTTCTTTCAGAAGGTGATCTCAGGTGAGTGGCAAGTTATATCATGGAAATAGCCATCCTCTAGGAATGCCTGCTGAAAGGTTAGTTTGCAAGACCATGCACTGGAGGAGTCTGTCCAAGTGACAGGTTGCAATAAACGCACATGACCATTACCTGAGTACAACATGCTGGAGCCAGGAACTCGTTAACATATTTAACAGCTCTGGATACACCTGACAGAAGTGAAATGGACAAGAGAGTAAAGGAAGAGATGAAGGCCCACAAAAGAACACAAAAGCAGACTGTGCAAATGAAGGAAGAAGTCACAAAAGTGCAGAGAAAGTTTCGCAGTAGTTTCAAAGATGAGCAAAATGCCCCATATTAAGCAACAGAACAGAAGCCAGCGGATTCACAAGGTAGTGGAAGTTGACGCATCTCCAGCCAGTCAGGTGGATTATTTCCCCCAGCAATGTCTCAATTCTAGAGTCCAGCCTTGAATTTGCAAACCTTCAGGTTCCTATTGGCTGAACATGCCAACTTCTGGATAAGGAGGCCATTAGGATACTTAAGGAGAAGGGCTGCTCCTGTAAGTGCATGTGGGGTGCCAGAGGAGGGGAGGATTTCTTCTTTGAGGGTTTAAACAAATAGACAACTGGGTGTTTAATATCTGCAACCCTGTCTTGTTTCGACTACTAGAGCACCATCATAATCCAGGCCTAGCTGAGGCAGAACCACTTTCTTTTACATTAGTGTCCTCTCAGTTGGAAGAGTGGTTAGTGTTACACTGAACATCAGACCCTACGTGCAGATATTAAAGCTTTGTCTTTTGCTGAAGCAGTTGGTGCCTGTACAAAATGCTGCATGTCAGCCAACATTTTCCTGGGATAAAAAAAATTATATATATGAATTAAAGAGAAATGGGGCTTCTGAACACAACACCACACGAATTCTCTACATGACACTGCACATCCCAGCTGTTCAACCTGCAGTCAAACACTCCACTGAGTCTATTGTGGCCACCAAGTATGCAATGACAGAAGACCAATCCACTCCCAAACCCAGGTAGGTTCTGCTTCTTTCCTCTATCAGCCAAGACCATAGTAATTAACTAGCCAACCAACACCAGCCTAGTGACACGGATAGCCTCCCCCATTCTCAAAGATGATCTGAGCAGACAAGTGCTTCAAATATTCCTTTGTTCAGAACACATGGAGCAGGTGAGGTAAAAGGCTGCTAAGCCTAGCAAAGCCTGATTAAATCTGCATTATTAAACAGCCCCTGATGACTTACAGAAGGCTTTCCAAAGCAATCTGTTTAGAAATATTTCTATTGTATTTCCTACATTCCACTCCTCTTTGTTCTTTATTAGTATCTTGGAGAGTCTGTTGGCTCCTGCTGCTTATTCCCTACCTGACATAAATAGTCTTCAGACATCAGACCTGTGGAAGATCATGTATTTTTTCAAACACAGGGCTATGACTCCAGATGCAAAATAAGCAGCAGGAGCAGATAAGCCCTTAAAATTATATTTGAACAAGAAAACTCTTAGCCACATGAAGCGTTTATGGGACCGTTTCCAAACGCCATATAGGCGGTTTTGTTAAGTTGTAGACAGCACAAGCTCTTCAATTCTTCCTAGGAGGCTTTTCTTAACCATACTGCCCAGACCAAGCTCTGCTTTGGTAATCTGGGCATATTTGAAGTTAATTTCATCTGAGCGGTGAGAGAGTAAGGACAAACAGTTCCATCTCCCCAGACCAGAGTCGAAGAAATCTTGACTGCAATGGAGTTTATGAAGCACCATAGAGGCCTCCAACCTTTCCACTTAAAAATACCAGCCCCTCAAGAGTCACGGGACTATCTTCAGTGTTATTTGATCACACTCCCATTTAACCAATCAATTTCCCAAGTGATTTACAATGAGAGAAAAAAGGGAGCTAAACCTAGCCACTCTTATGAGCCTTGGCAAGCAATTCGCTGAGAAGCAAGATGTTTTAGGATTACAAACGTGAAATTGCTCAAGAACTCTATTACCTAAATGCACAGGCTTTCTATACTATTTGATAGGTTCCCTTGGCACATGGGCTTTCACAGTGGTAGTGTATGGATATACTTTTTCAGACCCTTCCCAAAGGTCAGTTTAAAAGGCAACTATGCTTTCTATGAAAACCGAATTTGATCTTCTGTCCCAAACAGGTCACCGCAGACCATGAACAGTTGCACTGAACATTGGACAGCATCTGCAGACAGTCCAATGCTCACATGCAAGCTCTTTTGAGCTCGGCTCAGGACTGCTCTACCAGACACTCTTAATTTTAGATTCCATATATCATTACACCAATTGTTACCAAATGGTTCAGGGAAGAGAATGCTTCAAGCACTCACCCTACAAGCAGTCTTCCATTTCTATGAACGATCTTTGTGATTAACTGGCAAATAAGGATAATGGGCTATTGGGGGTAGGTTGTTTAGATGCCCATTAGCCTGAATGCATTATTATCTAGCACAGAACAAGTGCCCTGAGGTGTGTCAACATGCAGTGCAGCAAAGTGGGGTAATGAACTTGCCTACTCCATACTGTACTAGAATGCCATGACCAGCTAACAAAAAAACCCCCAACAAACAAACAAAGTGACTGAGCTCTATATACTTAGGCATATACAACAATCTCCGGCTCTTATTACGGCTAATTTTCTGAGGAAATAGGCATCCACTGCTCCCATTGTCTTCAAGAGGAGCTGTGTGGGTATACTACACTTTTGAACAGTATTGGAGCACTTCTGTGCAATGGGTCAACTGACTTGCTGTTAAGGGATTGCAAGTTAGCCAGTAACCATGTGCTAAGTGAAGGGGGATGTGATGGAAATATAAAGATGCCAGCATACTACCTATGGCAACAGCACTGGTGCATGAGTGTTTGCAGCAACATCTCCAGCAGAACCGCTGAGGCTGGACCCTGGAAAGGAAAGAATGGATTTACCTTTTCCCAGGAAGCGAGTCTTGTCATTGTCACGAAGCTCCAGAGCCTCATAGATTCCAGTGGAGGCACCACTAGGTACGGCAGCTCTAAACAGACCTGAGTATAGCAGGAGAGAAGAGAGAACAATCTCAGCATGGCAAGATCTAGGGAGGTTCTGCCTCTTCTTTATCCCAACCTAAAACTATGAGTATTGCAGCACCGGGAATGCTGCTCCCTCCACACTATGAGGTCTCTCTCCTGGATCAGGAAGAGTTACTCTTCCGAGTCATGCTTGGGCAACACAATAAGCCAACTCAGGCTGCTCAATGTGCAGATGGGCTGAATATCAAGACTGACAGCTTGCTGGATGGATGGTATTGAGTCAGGAAAAGCCCATCCATCATCTGATTAAGCCACGCTTTCCCAGATGAGCTAGGAGTTGGAGGTATCTAGCTTAACAGTGGTATTATTTCCTAAGTCCCCCTCCTCAAAAAAGAAATCCAAAAAACTTAAAACAAAAAGCACCATTGCCAGGGCTGGCCCACTAGTTCTATGCAGAGAACCTAAATTGAATCCCTTGCTCTTGGGCGAGCAGGTGTTTGGCGTGGGGCTGGGAGGGGAGGAGGGCATCGGGAAGATTGAGTGTGCTACATAATGCTCAGCATCACCATCACTGTGCCCCGGGGAAGCAGACAAAGGTTTCATCATCTCATCAGGCAAGGTCACTCTTCGGAAGCAGGCAAAGTGGTTTAGACAGACAGAGCCGTGGCTGAAGGTTTCAGATCAGCACCCCAATTTACCAATTGAAGCCCAAGGTTAATGTGTGCCCTGAAGATGTGTTAAGCTGTGGCTCAATTGGGGGAATGGAGATGGGAGAGATAAGGGCACGTCATCCTATGGAGGATGTAGTCCCCAGAGATGCTATCTGGTCATTTGAGGGGAAGACCCCTCAAGGTGGGCACAAAACTGTAGACATACCACTCTTCTAGCTGAGGATGTTACCCTGCAGAACAGAACATGGAGAGTACTAGAGTTCATCCAGTCTCTGGAGTGATATGCCAGCTTTGATTTCTCTAGCCTTCCTCCCTCAAGCAGAAGTCTGATATGGAATGTCATTAAGAGAAGGCATTCATCTTTCCAGGCAGAGCTAAGCTGTTTGGTTAGTGCATTACAGCTATTGTGATTGCTCATTCCAAGCCACGCTTGTATGGGTTTGTTCAATGGAAGTGTCTGATCTTGTAAGAGATGGCGCAATAAGTAACAAAGACCCAATGAGTAAGGGTGGAGGGAAAAGGCCTTGCAGCAACCAAAACAGATGAAGGATGTTAGATATACAAACACAATTACAGCTAAGCAGCTGTCTAGTCATGTCTGTGTCCACACTAAACAGCTACACAAAGTTACAGCAAAGGGAAGTGTGTTGGCAGATGTCATTAGGCAGGCAGTGCAGCAAGAGACCTGGAGCAGAGCTAACTGCAATGCAAGAGAGATAGCCACAACTTCCTCTAATTAAGCAGAGAGAGCTTCTAGAGGGAAAGCAAGAATGTACATGCATAGAGCTGAGTTTGCCAAAGCCCAATGTTGCGGGAGTTGTGAAAGCACAGCAGAGCAAGGGACATTGGTAGTTGTTAAAGTGGGGGAAATAAGGCCCCCCACTTACACTGGGATTTTGCTCCAGCTACACCATCCATGAAGCTTATCCTAGTTTCAAGCAGAAATCCCCATTGATGCAAATGCTAGAGGTCTGAATTAATGAAGTACAAACTGCTGCACTATTGATGTGTCTTGTCCTTCTTAGTTTATTTTCCTGGTGCTCCTACTTATCTGTGGTTGGGAAGCCTTACATAGAGAGGGAAAGTCCCAGCTCTGTTCAAGACATGACCATAGTACATTTGAAGAAAACACCTCATTGTCCATGCTCAGATTAATTATGCCACTGAATCCATATAAATAGAATAGGATAAAGATCTTTCTTATAGCTTCAATCATCACTGCAACTTAACGTATTCAGTATAGAATTAGGTGAAGAGCGTTTCATTCTCAATTTGGGTTTGCACTTTCCTATCAGTGCTAGCTTAGGAGAAGTTCAGATTCTGAGACCCATTCACCTTCTCTCTACCACTCATCAGCTCTTCCAGCAGCTAAATCTCAATGCTGCACTTCACAGGAAGTCCTATGGCTACAGATACTCACATCAAATACATGATTACAGGATCATGCAGAAGAGGCTGGGAGAGGAACCCCGCAAGTGCACACATTCAGTGCCAGAGAGAAAACAAGTGTAGTGACAAGCCATTTAAAATTTGTATGATTCTCCCATGCCTCAGTGTGGCTTAAATGCAAGAGTTTCTAGCCCTAATCTTGGGGGGGGGGAGGGGGGCGCCCACGCCTACAGTTCCTTCCTGGAGTTACACTAGAGATGAATTTTTCCCTTATTATTCATGAAGCCCAACTCAAGCTGACCACTATTTGTAAAGTAATTTGCTGTTTAAAATTATGCTAGCATACATCAGGTTCCTAACAAAGCCAGCAAGACCAATAACTAAAGAGATTAGATTCCCCCGGCACAGAAATACTGGGCTGAGATGTGTTCCTTTCTATCACAATACGGTACACCTGGAGATTTCAGCTTTTCCCATTTAATTAGGGAGCTTTATCTCATCCATCCTAGGAGACAGAACAGACTGAAATAGATAGGGCTTTAAAGCACCACTTTTCACTTAAGTTTTGGCTGCTATCCTTGTTTGTTTGCATCCCTCTCCTCTAAATATCCTCCCATATAAGTCAGCCTCAGACCCCAAGCAAGCAGGAGGCCCATGAAGAATGAAAGGAGTGTTCACCACAGTATGTACACAACACTGAACTCTCATTCTTGGCAGTGAGGTTTTGTACCAATCATCTTTCTACTTCGACTGATGTAGGCAGCCCAGACTGATATGTGGCAGGAGTAGATGGACCTAGGCAGAAACAAGACTCACCTTTGCTGGTATAGAGGTCTACCTCAACAGTGGGGTTCCCACGTGAGTCAAAGATTTCACGAGCATGGATCTTGAGTATGGACATTTTGAGTATCTGCCAAGAAAAAAAAAAAGATTTAATATTCTGAAAGACAGACACGGCACAGGAACCCTTAGTACCACTAAAGGTCATGTATGCAGTTCCATAAATATTGCTAGTCACTTTTTTTTTTTTAAAGTTCCTGTTCGCACAGGAGAAAGCCACCATCAAATCTCTTCCCTCTGCTAAGGTGTCAGTTATGAGTTTGAGGAAGCATAACCTGTTCATTCAGGCTAGGATTTTCCAAGGAGCCTAAGGCAGTGAGATACCTAATTCCTTTAGGCTCAATTGCCTTAGACTCCTTAAAAGATACCACTCTTAGATAATAATGAAGCAACACTGACACACAGGAACTAGCTGAAACCACTTTTGTTGAGAGAGACTTCAGTGCAGGAGCTCCCATTTAGCACATGAAAGAGCAGATTCTGGGACCTGAATGGAACCAAATCCTGAAATGGAAAGAGGCAGCTACGTGTGTTAATTAGTTATGTTTCTAGTCAAGGGCAAGTTCCTGTATGGCTAGCTTCCGCTGCATTTGATATGAAGTGTGTTAATGGTGTTCTCCTCCATTTGGAGGAAGAACTTTTGTTTCACATCTAGTTTTCTGCATACATTTTTTTCCTTGTCCAAAAAACCCACAAGCAGCAGGAAGTGATCCTTCAATCAAGGACCTGTTGACTTCTCATTGAGCAATACTGTGCTTTCACAGTGAATCTTGGAGCAACAGCTCACTAAGTGGAATAAGGATTCAGTCAGTTTTTATAAATACTACTCTCACTTCAAAAACAATGAGGAATACTTGTGGCACCTTAGAGACTAAAAAATTTATTTGGGCATAAAGCTTTCATGGGCTATTACCAGAGCAGCCATAATACACTCTGAAATCAGTCTCCATTTCAAGGTTTTTTAGTATCCAGCCATTCAGCTAAAGCCAGCAGCACGGATTAACTAGGGCAAACTACAGAGAAAACACCTTTCATATCTACCTCAGCTGCATTCCAAGGTAAATATCCAAGAAGGATATGCGGGCATGTCATTTCCTTGTATGGTGTTGCCTATTACAGGGCTAAGCTACCTGCTTTGTAACATTAACATTGCTCTAGCTTTAGCTGCGATGCTAAAAACCTTGCAAAGGAGATCATTTTTTGGGAAATAAATGTTTTTCCATTTTCAAGGTTAAAGAACATTTTATATGTCCATCGTTTATTGTGCACCCCATCACTGGAGGTACTGTCAAACTGGCTGTGTTCCTATTTGCTACTCCCCTCAGCCCATTTGTTTGAAAACAGGCATTATTTACTGCAGTTATATAAGCTTGGCTATGTTTTAAAGCAACTCATGCAAGTGCCTGCGTGCCATGATTTAGCAGTGCGGTTAGTTTCCTTAAAGAGAGCAGAGCTTAGTCTCAAATAAAAAATATTGCATTAGACGGAAATAATTGTAAGCTAGTTTGTTTGGCAAATCAGTCATAGTAGGGACAGCATACAGGAGTGATCATGAGTTGCCTTTGAGATGACAAAGGCTCAAGGGACAGGTGTTAAAATGCTGCAATTACAGGTCTGAGACTGATTTTGCCTTCCTCTCTTTCAGGAGCTATCCCTCTTCCCAAAATTATGTCCTTAATCTCTCTCCACTACAAGGTAAGAAGACAGCTTTGTTTAGTCCCTTTACTTTGAATCCTCTCTGGTTCATTTGACAGTGAGGTAGTAGAAAACCTGGGGATGAAAGGATTTTAATTCTATTTTTCTGCTCTATTGTAAGAGCCTTAAACTGAGCCATCAATTTTCAGAGGCAGGTCTGTATGAAGAGTCCTGGAGTTTTAGAACCCTGACCGCTAGCCCAATTGCAAGTATCGAGGTAATTAACATTCCCCCTCTTTTCCTTGCTGTTTTCCAGTGCACAGACCTCTACAATGCTGTTTAGTGGCCATCATGAAATACTGCCCTTCCTTGATGCAGGAATCCCTCCTTTATCCTAGAAAGGCTGCTTTTAACGCAAAGCTGATTAGGCTCTTGCATACGCTGTCTCTTACTTTCATTTTCAGGGCTGCACCATGATCAGAAAGCACCTGATCAGACACGCTACCTTTAGTGGGATATGCCAGTTTACATGGAAATCTAGTTAAACAACATGTAAACTGTTTCGTTTTTTTTTTTTTTAAAAAAAGCAGACTTGTTACCAAGGAAATACTCATTATAAGCTTCCAGTGCGCTTGTCTCCCTCAGTTGAAATGATAACCAGGCATTAATATTACTCTATTACTCAAATGTCCTTGACAAGTGACCTCCCCAGAAGTCCCTCCCCTTCCTTAGCAGCTATGCTCAGTTTACAGCACTGCAGTATTTCAGACCTGTACCAAACCAGTTTTATTTTAACCCTTGATGAGCCTCTTCACCAGGTCATTTTGCCCAGGAATGGTTGGTAGGGAACAGCATCTGTCTACAAGATACAGTCTGACTCATCATGAGCCCAGCGTAAATCATTTGCTTCCATGAACTGTCTGCTTGGACAACCGTGATTCAATCAACCACAGCTACAGAGGGACAAAGAAGAACAAGCAGGAGCATGTCACAGCTGTGCTTAGGTCTGCTTGTGCTCATTTCATTGGTTACATAAGTGGGGAGACAGGGCTGTAAAAACAGGAACCCCCCCCCCCCCAAAGAGAACATTCTGGAACACAGTAAGCTCACATTTACCATTCCAAGCCTCCAATGCTTCATGGCAGAACTAATCAGAAATAAGTCAAACCTGGGGAGTGGCTGTTTCATAAGTGACAGGTTTCAGATTAACAGCCGTGTTAGTCTGTCTTTGCAAAAAGAAAAGGAGTACTTGTGGCACCTTAGAGACTAACCAATTTATTTGAGCATGAGCTTTTGTGAGCTACAGCTCATGCTCAAATAAATTGGTTAGTCTCTAAGGTGCCACAAGTACTCCTTTTCTTGTTTCATAAGTGATTTTCAAGTTACATATAGTCCCCCCCTTATTTCTGTGATCCACTCAGTCAATGGTCCCCTTAAGATGAGGGGATACCTGCATCCATTTAGAGAGGTGTGGTCTAGCATCTGGAAATTAAGGAGTCCCAAATTCTAATCCCACTGACACACCAAATCCTTGTGTCCCTCATCCCATACTGTATACGGGGACAACACACCTACCAGATGGATAACAAGTACTACATGAATGCCTAATGTACTTTATACTATTATACTAATTTACAGATTCTTGGGTCAGCTCTTCAAAGGAGGTGTTTTTACAGCAAACTGACCTTTACTACTTGCATAAAGATTAAAAATAAGAACACTGTGCCTCCCCTCCACTAGGCTATACAGCAAGATACCTGACTTCAGTGAGGTATCTTGCTGTAAAAACTCCCTTTTTTGGCATTGAAAACATAGTCTAAAGGTAATGGACAGCCTTTGCAGATGCACATAACAGGCTATGGGACAATGAGATAATCCAAATCGCGGGGGTAAGCCCACCACAGAACCTTGAATGCCCTGCCACTGAAAATGCAACTGTACAGAATGAGAATTGCAAGCTATTTGTTGCAAAGTTGCATTTGGTCCTGAAAAGCATATCCTGGAGGTTTCTGCAGACTCACAAGGCTCCTCCCCAACCTTCCCTTACTCTCTGGATAAGACTGACATCACCCCCTCCAATTATGAACAGTTCCAGTAAGATTAGGCTCTGGCCTTTTACTTCCACTCTTTAGCATTCCAGAAAGGATAGGTATGGGTCACCAAGGAAGACTTCAACAAGGGTACCATCGGATTCCACCCCATGTCTTCCCCTCCCTCCGTGTATTCCTCATTCATCCCTATGCCCTAAGTGTGATGCAACTATGAGAATGCTGCTTGGCATCTATCATAGCAGGGAATGCAGGAAGTCAGGAAATAACAGACTACTCAAAATCAGTTTTTTAATAAAATGGAGATCAAGGACTGAATTGCCTCAATTTGTGGTTTTGGAAGTGAAATATCAATACTTCCCGTACAGCTCAAAACCCATATCCCTGCCCTATGACTCAGCATGTTAAGTAACGGAAAGAAATCTCTGAAGTCTGGATGACTAAAAACTTCTCCTGACTATCTGTACAAACCCCATGAGAGTCAAAAGGAGAATTTCCACTACTAGTTTTCACACTCAGACGAAGACTGTGGTAACCCCCGGCAAGTATTATGCAGCCACCTTTCTTGCAGTACTGTTCCAAAGATAAAAGCAACATTTAATTATTTTCACTATTAAGATTTCATAAAAACATACGAATGGCCATACTGGGTCAGACCAACGGTCCTTTTGGGAACATATGTTGGTCAAGAATGTTGATCTAGAAATAAATTAAATATTTGAGAAGCAGAGCTGAAGGACAGCTACTGTTGCAAAAGAGGGAAAGGTTCAAAGCTGTAACCTACTACAGACAGTCACTGTTAATTAAAGCCTGCTGCAAAATACTCACTAGTCTGTACCCATCATGTTAACGGGTTTCAGAGTAGCAGGTGGGTTAGTCTGTGTCCGCAAAAAGAAAAGGAGTACTTGTGGCACCTTAGAGACTAACAAATTTATTTGAGCATAAGCTTTCGTGAGCTACAGAATCCGATGAAGTGAGCTGTAGCCCATGAAAGCTTATGCTCAAGTACATTGGTTAGTCTCTAAGGTGCCACAAGTATTCCTTTTTTTATCATGTTAACAGTTACTGAACTAAGGAACCACTCCTTTGCATGGTGATTCATTTTTCTCAGGAACATGATGTCCACTCCTACTAAAAGTATTATAAGCATCATGAAAAAAGGGAGTAATAGGTAGAGCACATAGATTAGAATACTCTTGTGAGTCATGAGAAGCAGGCTGAAAAAAGCACCATTCCCATTGTGAGACCACATGCTGATTGGCCTGCAAGAGTCCTGCAACAGTCAGCATGGCCCAGGGGCCTACAGGCCTTGTAAATCAATACATAGCCCTGCAACGTAAACCTGCATTGAAGGGGACTTGGTATGCTGCTGCTATGCCAGCTGCTTAACCCTAATATTTCAGCAGTACTGACTTTCCCTGGGCTCCACATGGCTTTGAACATTTGTCTGCGGACACTGTCTGGGAGTAAAACCCACACAACTAAGTGAAGTTTGGGGTGGGGTTTTTTTTTGGGGGGGGGGCAGGGTGCGGGCAGACAGAAGAGCAGCAAACGGAAGGTGCAAAGAGGAAGTAGGAAGTCTCTTACCTAAGGAACGTTTCCTCCTAAACTGGTCAGTTTCACTGCCCCCCGGCCAAGAGATCCCTCAGATTAGCCAAGGGCACAAAGTACACACAAAACCTGATTTAACTGGGGAACGAAGCAGCCAGTGCCTTGTGGGGGTCTGACCTGCCCAAATGTCTCCCGGCCCACCAAAGCGCTGCACTGCAGTCACCGCGGAAACCAGGTCAGTGCACGGGGCACGTGTGTAGCCTCTGGTCGGGGCAGGGGAGGGCTGTAAAACGGAGCAGCCAGGAGCGCGTTTGAACGGACCGTGGCCGCCCGTCCCGCCTCTCACACGAGTCCCTGGGGTCGAGTCCCCCCCCCCCCCGCGGGGCCGGCCGCAGACTCAGGCGGGGGCTGCAGGAGGCGGCGGGGGCGGAAGCCGAGGAGCCGGAGGAAGCGGTAGCAGCAGCAGCCGCGGCGCGGCGGGCGAGGCCCGTGCAACGGGCAGGGAAGCGAACATGGCACCAGCCCGCGCATCCCTCCCGATGCGGCCGCTGCTGTGCGCGGGCCGGCTGTGCCGCACCCTGGCTGCGGGGTGGGGGGGGGGGGGAGAATATATTCTTCTCCCCACCCCCGGGGGGCGACACAGCCCCTCCTGCTGCCACGCACCCCATCTTCCGGCGAGGGCAGCCTCCTGAGGTGAAGGGAGGCCGGGGGGGCGGCAGCATCCATTTCCCCCCCCGCCGGCACCCTACTGGCATCCGCCCCCCCCCCCAACTTGGTGCGCCCCGAGGCCGGGCAGCTCTCGTGCCCGGTAGGGGGAGGGGGGGGGCTGCAGCGAGGCCGCCCCGCTTACCTCAGGCGCAGCGGCAGAGGAGAGGGAGAGTCACGCGCAGCTCGCGCTCCAAGGCGACTGGGGAAGAGGCAGCCGGCTCGCGCTGGGCTATAGTCCCTCCCATGCAGATGAGGGGCGGCCCGGCCCGGCCCCGCCGCGGCTGGCCCTGCCCACTCGCCCGTCTCTGATTGGCCGCGCGGGGCTCGCGCCAGCCCTGAGGCGCGTGCGCTACGTGCCGGGCTGGGTGTGCAGTCATGGAAAAATCCCGTTCTGCTGGGCGCGGGCGGCAGCCCCTGCGCTCTCCGGCCGGCGCGGGGGGGGGCGCCAGGCAGCCGGAGCGGAGAGCGCAGTTGCACAGGGCCCCCGACCCCCCCCCCCAGCCGCTCGTGGGGGGGGGCCGCTTTGGTCTTCCACCCAAATACCGTTCATCTCACTGAGCGCGGACTGGTGAACAAGTGCCTTCGTGTGTGTCGTGCTGGTCCATTTTTTGGTTTGTGGAAGTGATGCAATTAGTCCTGGATGAAAGGGGGGAGCCCTCAAAATTTTCCTGTTTAGGGGCCCGCATGGGGACCGAATGCACCAGGCACCAGCTTGCAAGCACCATGCAACCCGGTCACAGGCCAAGCACTTAAGGAGTACACAGCTCAGGATGGGGATAATCGAGAACCGAGGAACGAGTAGGCCAGTTTGCACCACAGTGCTTTTTTGGGTAGCCCATTATTATCCACTCAGAAAGCTAAGGTCTCACCTTTAGCAAAGGCAAAGTAGGTACCAGACAGTGGAAAAGCGCAGCTCAGGAGGGGAACGATTAAGAGCAACTGAAATGAGTTTGACAGTACAAGGTTAGATTTTGAAAAATACTATTTTCCATTCATAAAGCTAAAGTCAGCTCTGGCAATGTGATTTATCCTGGCTAAACCAAAGGAACAGGACCAGGGGAAGAGCAGCTAAGGGTAAGATAATTTATGGCGTATGCCACATGTTCCTAGCAAGAATTTTCATTCGCCTTCTCTTCCCCCCCCCCGGCAACATTTTTATCCATTCCAAGCTCTAAGAAAGCCATAGGAGAAGCCACATACAAAAAGTTGGGGGAAATGAAAGGTGGTGGAAGAATCCATGAAAACAGCAAACACATTGATGGGGGCAGACAATTGCTAAAAATGTCATGTCTTGCTGTTAGTGCTCGTTCCAGTAGGACTGAGTACTGGAGAAGTGTAGCTAGAGGTAATGCTAACCAGGAAGAAGAAAAGGAGGACTTGTGGCACCTTAGAGCCTAAAATTTATTTGAGCATAAGCTTTCGTGAGCTACAGCTCACTTCGTCGGATGCATTCAGTGGAAAATACAGTGGGGAGATTAATATACATAGAGAACATGAAATAATGGGTGTTACCATACACACTGTAAGGAAAGCGATCACTTAAGATGAGCTATTACTAGCAGAAGAGTGGGGGGAGAAAACCTTTTGTAGTGATAATCAAGGTGGGCCATTTCCAGCAGTTGACAAGAACGTCTGAGGGACAGTGGGGAGTGGGGGGGGGGGGGGAAATAAACATGGGGAAATGGTTTTACTTTGTATAATGACCCATCCACTCCCAGTCTCTATTCAAGCCTAAATTAATTGTACCCAGTTTGCAAATTAATTCCAATTCAGTAGTCTTTCATTGGAGTCTGTTTTTGAAGTTTTTTGTTGAAGAATTGCCACTTTTAGGTCTGTAATCGAGTGACCAGAGAGACTGAAGTGTTCTCCGACTGGTTTTTGAATGTTATAATTCTTGACGTATGATTTGTGTCCATTTATTCTTTTACATAGAGACTGTCCAGTTTGGCCAATGTACATGGCAGAGGGGCATTGCTGACACATGATGGCATATATCACATTGGTAGATGTGCAGGTGAATGAGCCTCTGATAGTGTGGCTGATGTGATTAGGCCCTATGATGGTGTCTCCTGAATAGATATGTGGACACAGTTGGCAGTGGGCTTTGTTACAAGGATAGGTTCCTGGGTTAGTGGTTCTGTTGTGTGGTGTGTGGTTGCTGGTGAGTAGCAAGGCATTTTACATTTTATTAACCATTCAGAAACTCAGGCCCCAAGATCTAAGAAGGCCAAAGAATCAGAGATTGGAAAACATAGCTCACACATACATTTCATTTGGCACTTTGCAACAAGATTTCTGTGGCTCGAAAGCAGTGGTTCTTCTGAAAGGGAATGGGAAAAGGGGATTTCCCTGCCACTCTTGGAGGGTTTCACCCCTCATCCCTACCTCTAGATTCATCTCAGCCACCCCTCTGGGGATGACTTGCAGCCCTGGCTCAAAAAGAGAGATTTTAATAGAAATTTTCCATTTGTACATAGAGAACGAACCAGAACATTTAAGTTGCATAGTCCCTATTGGTGTGGTATCCAGGCTCTGTTATACCAAATATTTAAAAAATACAAATAATACAAAGCTACCCTCTAGGCAGCACAGAAACTGTCACCCATGCTTTAATTAGTGTTAATTAATTAATTAATCTCCCCCACCAAAAAATCTCTGGAAGAGGATATCCCTGTACAGTTATATCCCCTTTCTACAGATGGCTGGGAGAACAGCCATCCTTGTTAACGACGTAGGTCCCAATTCTGCAAACACTTATAGACATGAGCTCATCGGGACTACTTGTGTACATAAGCGTCTGCAGGATCAGAGCCATCATTGTTAACAATAGGCGTTTTGGTGCCTAAAGAATGCCGGATCCATGCCAAGGGGAGTTTTTCGTTCTGTGGCAAAGCTCTCAGGACTAGATCCACAAAAGGGACTCAGACTCAGCATTGCAATAGCTAATGCTGAGGCGCCCTGCTGCCAAGTGGAATCCACAGCTGAGTTAGGTGCCCATGCTCCCTATACAATGCATGGGGAGAGTTAGACTCCTTTAAGAATGGGATTCACAAAAGCCACCATATCAAGTGGGGAGCCGCTTAAGCTGGCCCATAGCAAGTGCTGAGGAGGAGAGGGATGTCCTAAGCCCCGCCCCACAAAGGGCTTTATTTCATGATAATGACTGTGCAGCAGTGTAAGTCAAAGGATTTAGGTGCCTACATCTGGGCCGGAGGGAGGCGCCTTCCTCAGGTTAGAATTCACAATCACATACCTGCTCCTGGCGTTAGGTGCCTAAGCCCTTTCTCACAACAAAATGAGGCGAAGCCCCACCCCTATAAACTTTCAGCCCGGTGGTTAGACCACCCACCCTACAGTGTTTTCTGTGGAGTCCAATCCAGTAGGCAGCTTCTGAGAACGCCTAGAGGATTGGGCCACACAGGTAAGATAGGTGGGGTGATGCCTAGTTTGAGGTTTCTGCTGGGGCTTAGGTATGAGCTAGGCACCCAAAGCACCGAGACTGAGGCAGCTGTGCATATGCTCACTGGCAGATTTGTAGGGGGCTTTTCCAGTGGAAATTTAGGTGCCTAGGGACTTTAGGCAGCACCTGAGCAGAGGTTTTGAGAATCTACAGTTTGGATTTAGATGCCTAACAAGGCTCTGCTTCAAAGGCCATTGAAGTCCATGGGAATATTTCCATTGTTTTTAATGGGCTTTGGCTCAGGACCTGAGTGGCTTTATATGTGAGAAAAAGCCATGGATTTGTCAGTTTCAATATTTATATATTGGAGAGAGGGATTTAAAATGTTTATTTGTTGTTAAAATCCAAGCTAGGGCCCTGATCCTGCAAAGATTTATGCAGGTATGTAACTTTACTCAGGTCAGTAGTCCCACTGAAATCATGTGAAGCCTCACCTGAGTAAAGTTACATACATGCATAGGTGTTTGCAAGTTAGGGGCTGGTAGCAATACATAAAATAGGGATCATGGCTACAATGCATACACAAAGGGAAAATACATTGATACCCACACCTAGCAAAGGCACCAAGAAATTGTACAGGAAACAAACTTTAAAGCATTGAAATTGAGATTTGGAAACTGAACAGTTCAGACAATTATATTCATCACATTAGTCACATAGTGCCTCTTATGCACAGATCTCAGCATGCTGCACTGTCATTAAAATGAAATAAAGCACAAGAAGGAGGGTATGTCTACACTTGGGAGCTATGTGGGCACAACTCCATAGTGTAGATACAGCCTATACTGGCAGAAGGGGCTTTTCCATCAGTGTGGGAATACCACCTCCTGAACAAGCACATCTGTTAGGTCAGCATAGCTACATTGATCAGGGGTGCACATAAATCCCCTAGCCCCATGGAATTCTTCCTTGCACTATAGCAGAAATTATCCACATTTTCTTCAGTGAAGGTCCTTTGGAATCTGAGCATCTCCTGGGTTAGTTTTGCATAGAAGTGTTGGGGCAGGGGCTGGGAAACAGAATCTCCCCCCCCCCCCCACTTTGTTGCTGGCATTGAATAGGGGGTATCCGTGGCTCCATGAAAATTCCTTGCCTCCAACATTTCATCCTATTACACAAGAAATATTTCAGTCAACTTTGTTTTTCTTTTAACCAGCCCCTTAAAAAACAAAAGAGGATTTTGCCTACACTTAGGAATAAAACTGCCAATTTTTAAAAAGCTACAGTGACTCAGAACACAGCAGTCCATCTCCTGAGATGTACAGGCTGCCAAGACCACACTGCCCCAGTGCTCGGCTGTCTCAGTTGGGTCAAATAAAAGGTTTTGGTCCCCACTTTCAGAGCCTTCAGGATCCTTGATGCTAAGAGCCGACGTTGACCATATCCTCCCCAGACAGCTACTTCTCATTCTTGATCTCGGGAACTCAGGAGACAGAGGTTTTCCAGTGATGGGTCATGAATCTGAACTTCAGTCCCGGCACAGATCAGGATAACCAGGGACCTCAGCATTTCCAGAGCAAAATGCAAACCCCACTTCTTTAACCCAGCGTTTCCATAATAACACCAGTGAAACACAAACAACGCTGAATCCCTACAGAGTAGGGGGGAAAGAGAGAAATAGATCTTTTATGCACACTTTGTCATTGGACAAGGTGCTAGGATACCAGAATGATGGGCATGGTATATAAATCAAAATCTGCCAATGTTGGAACTCATTTGTAATAATACAGGTATACATTATAGATGTCTCACCACCTAGGAATATAATCCAGTTTCCTTATGGTCTAAAATCATTTTCCTTTAATGGGATTTTTATAGACAGCCAGCC